TTGTCAGATTACTGATGTAAATGGGGAAAACTGGTTATTTTAATATGATATTTGTGAGTTATCAGCCCGTGTGCATGGAAACGTGCTCAATGATAATCTCAGGTACTGATTATGTGCTTTATTCACTGGTAAAAGTGTCTAACGTGAGTTTAAATATATTGTGTGAGATTTTTAGCCTTACTGAAACCAACAACATACCCCAGATCTTGAAAATAAATTAAAACAAATATGTACGTTAAAACTGCAAACTCAATGCGAACCAACAAGTGTTTTCCATGATGGTATCACTCACTCAGTATGTAGTTGTAATAATGTTAAAAAAAAATTATATTTAGGCCTTTTAATTAGATTATACACTTGTCTAGCTTAGGTTTGCACATGCGCAGTAGCTAGTCTAGCCTGAAAAATACTCTTTTTAATGCTATTTGAGCATAAGAAACAAAATAATGAGAAAGTTGTTGTCAGATTTCATTTGTGATTTCAAATATGAAATTTAATTCTAAGATTGATGAACAGCTTTGGAGAATTTGATGCCTTCCCATTCAAAGAGATGTGAGGTGCACCAGGCGTGGCTCGTCTGTATGAAGAGATTAAAATAGTATTTTCTTATAAAACATACTTTAAATATTTGTTTTATTCACAATTTAAAAAAATAAAAATACATTGTAGTAGCAAATAATATTTGCACCTTAGCATATTGTAGTATGTTTTAAAACGGTATGCAATAACAACATATTCAGTAAATTATTATATTTATTCAAATTATAAATGGATGGATTGGGCCCTTACTTGTCCCTATCCGTAAAAACCCAACCCTAACCATCTTCTTTGGAACCTTTACAGTACAACACATGCATATGCTTATGGATTTGCTCTTAACCTCTTCTAATGTAAATGAATTTGGAGTATTCTAAATGAGCGACCGTGTACCTGAGGTAAGTCATTTGCATAAAACATTCCCAAACCATCTCAATTTAAGGGCTTTCCACAAGGCATGAAGCCTTTCATCGCTCTCAGGAAACGACGCTCTCTAAAGATGCGCTCTTGTCTGAGAGATGTGCAGCAAGATCCTCGAAGAGTGCCAAGTGTGCCATTCTCAAAACCAGTTCAAACACAAAAAACAGCTGTTATATAGATTCAGATTATGGACCTCTCGTTAACCAGCTACACATACACGAGTCTGTGTGGTTATTCAGAGAAACCTTGCAGCTCAAGATATAATGCAGATTTTCATACTCTTTCCCATATGATAAAATTATGTATGATATATAATTATAATTGTGCTAAGATGAAATATAATTTTCATCTTAACATGATTTCAAGGCCACCCAGAGTGTTTTGTGTATGTGTGGTTTCAGTTGCTCATTTTATTTCGTGACTTAAGTACATTTTAGTACTATTTTTTTTTCCGGTGAAGCATGATTTGTTCGTAAAAATTTTCATACGCAGATTTCTAGAGATGCTGCCACCCTCTGTAACTTTATCCACTGGTGATGTTTGACAGTGTTCATTAAGAATATTTTTCTATTAGAATTTTTTTATTTAGAAATATTTTGTCATTCTTAAGCGCCGTAAATGTGATGATGGTTTAGCCCTGCCAGATTTTCTATTTTATTACTGGTCCGCTGATATTTCCAAGATTTCATTATGGTCTAATGCTCCAGAGTCTAACTGGTGTACACTAGAAGCTGCTACTTGTACCTCTTCTTCCCTTCCAGCATTAGTCTTTGCTCCTTTGTCTCTCCAACCTTCTAGCTAAGAAATCCCATTGTGCTGTCAACTCTAAAAATTTCGAAACAATTTCGAAAACATTTTCATTTAGAATCACTTTGTTTTCAGCCCTATTTGCAACAATCACTTGTTTTTGCCATCTATGATTGATCACACTTTTAAAAGATGGAGTGATAAAGGCATTGTTCATTTCTCAGATCTCTTCATTGATCATTATTTTGCTACTTTCAACAACCTTATATCCACATACTTTACCACATAATTTACATACTACAGACTTATTCAGGTATTTCCAGCTTCGTAATTTTGTGCAAGTATTCATTTCTCTAGTTTCCTCCAATTGCCAGAAGAATCCCTGCTTGAGAGTTTATTGTCAGCCCCTATAGATGGTAACCTTATCTCTTCTATCTATCTCATATTGCTTTCATCTAGATCTTCATCTCTCTTATGTTTGAAGTCAGCATGGGAGAAAGAGTTAGAGCTCAGCTTTTCTGAAGAGCTCTGGTCTGAGGCTCTTGTTAGAGTTAATTCTACTTCTGCTTGTGCCCGGTTAAGTCTGATTCAGTTAAAAGTTTTGCACCAAACCCACTTTACCAAAACTAGACTCCATAAATTGTTCCCAGAAACATATGACTCTTGTATCAGATGCTCCTTTTCTCCAGCTGACCATGTTCATACATTTTTCAGTTGCCCTAAATTGGCCTCATACTGGGCTTCCTTTTTTGATTTTCTTTCAAGGGCGTTACATATTTCTCTCCCTCCATGTCCTATGGTTGCTATCTTTGGTGTCTGTGTTTTCTTCTACTCTTTCGAAACAACAAGCAGATGTTATTGCATTTGCCTCCCTGGTTGCTAGAAGATGCATTTTGCTACATTGGAAGTTTGGAATTGTCCAACTCCACCCGCAACTGCCTCTTGGTTAAAGGGGTCATATGATGCGATTCTGACTTTGCTATGACAATCTGGCGCTTCTGAATCAGCTACTGTTTTGTTATTAGTTTAAGTATTTGCTATTGACAGTTCAAATGCCGAGTTTTGCACATCGTGTGTGTGTGTGTGTGTGTGTGTGTGCGTAAATACACAAAATAATGATCTTTAAAAAAGCATCATATGACCCCTTTAATAGATCTCATGTCATTCCTTTCTCTAGAAAAACTAAAAGTATACTATTCAGGGCTCAGCTGTTAAATTCTACAAAATTTGGAACCCCATTCTAAATTTCTTTCACTCTTTGACCTCACTAGACTCTGATTGAGTTTATTCAGTGTGTGAATGTTTACATTTATGTACAGCACAGCATGGCTATGTGTGTGTGTATGCATGCACGTATACTTCTGTATGTATAATTGTTTTTTCCCCCTTTCTCTCTTCTCTCATTTGAATACATAATTTATGAAATGTATATAATACAGTATTACTGTTATGTACGCTGTGCTATGTAAGCTTGCTTATGTATATGTTGCTGTATGAGTGCGTCTGTATGTATGCTTTGTCTGTTTCAGATGTGAAGTTCATTGGAGGATCTGTCTGCCACTCTGCTGACGTAAGACGGTGACGTCTGTGATCGCGCCACCAATTGCAGTTTAAAATCCACTTTAACTTTAATGGCAATTAGTCTGGGCTGGGTGATGATACGGCTCTGTGAGGACGGTTCTCTCTTGCGAGAAGACCAGTCTGAGAGTCTGTTTTTGTTGGAGTTACTGTTGTTTTGCAGTAGTATCAGTGTTTTGCTTGTTGTTGATTATGACTTTGATGTGCGCTCTGCACCTGTTTGATGTTACCCGATGAGGTGTCTGTTTGTGAAACTTCTCTTTAGTCACTGATGAGAGTTGTGCAGACTGTTTGAAGAGGTTGTGAGTAAGGTAAGCGTGTCGCGACATACATTTACATCATGTAGAATTCCATACTGTATTAGACACACCAGGCTAGAGCGAGAGGTGCTAATTTTTTATGTTTTTGTTTGATTAGTCAGAGTAGTGAGCGATGGCGTCTCGTATGCTGAATATGTTTGTTTCTACATTTTCTGTTGATGGATAGTTTAGTTTGGTTAACCTTAGTTATTGGGAGTTTTTGTTTTGTTTAGTTTTTGATTTAAGCCTCTCTCTCGCTCCTTCCTCTCCTCCAACTTGTTCCCGACTGGCTCATTCATTGATTGTACATATTGTAAATATTTACTTTACTACTTCACTCTTTCTCAAGCACTCTAAAAGAAAATAAACACTGTGACGATTATTGATTTTGTTGCCGTTTCTTCCCTTGTGCAGTTCTTCCCACCTTGATACGCACACACCTAAATCTTGTATGCTATGTCTAACGTTCTAGACGAACCACAATTGATTGATGAGGGACGTAACAATTACATTTATCTCATATAGTATTATTATAGATAAAACAGTTTCTTGTCAATCCTCCTGAGGTCTTTATGGGTGGGGGAAGGTTATGTAATGTTTTAGTTTTGGTCTGGATTTACTTAATTCAGTGGGGTTAATCGTGGGGATAAGAAAAAAAATGCAGACAATGTTCTCTTCACTGTATTGTTCTGTGTTTTACATCTGTTTGTGTAATATTACAAAATAATTTATGTCCACGTTTTATTATTTGTGTAAGGGAAACGGGTCAATTCAGCTCAAAGGGAATCATTTAAGATTTTAAAGGGAATTTGGACAGAATCACTGTTTTACGGCTGATCACTGAGTCGGCCAGCGATTCATTGAAAGAGCCGTATAACATCAACTCTGCAATGGATATTAATATCCAAAATATAGTGAAAACACTATTAATTAGCACAGTAACAAGATCGGCAGTTTAACTTGTAAGCACAAAACACAAGATACTTCTCTTTTCAATATGAATAAGAATGTGAAATCCCAAGTTTACAGCAATATGTGCAATTGCATAGACCTGAACAACCATCAATCACTTAATTAACGATGAATTGAAGCTAAAGACATGACTAAAAAAACAAGCAAGCAATGACTAAAAAGCAATGATTTGATGGTGTCCTGAGTATTTAAACGATTCAAACACACACATACTAAACATGAATATGAACCCTTAAGCTATTCAATAGTTATTAAAAAGACATACACAATAAATGTTTAACACATTATATTCTAATATGTCATGTTCTTGATCGAATCTTAAATTGTCTGAGTCGGTCTGATACCCTACATTTGTTTTATTTTTTGAAAATGTTTTAGCACATTTCTACAATTATTTGAAGAGGAACAGTCTCTCTTGTCTCCATTTTTATATTTCTATTTTTATTATTATTTCAAAAATCTTTTTATGTATCCCAGTGCTCCAGTATTTTCTTCTCCTGCTCTCTTCTTAATGTCTTCCAGAGTTTTTACCTTTTCAGGCTGATTCATTTCCTTCAAATTCTCAATCAGAGAATCAATGTGCAGAAGTGTGAGCAAAGAATCAGTGTTGAGTGCGATCATCTCCAGAGTTTCCAGACAGTGAAAAGCTTCATTCACCCTCGTTATTTTCTCTGATTCTGAAAGATTTTCTTGCTCCATTTGGGAGACATTTGCTTCCAGATGCTTCCGTTTCTGCAAAACATCTCGAGTCATCTTCAATTGTTTTGGTTTTATGTTTTCAAGAAACTTGAAAAAGCTCATTATTCCAAAATGACTGAGTTTCCATGATTGCTCCTGGATTGTTTCATATTTTTCATCAAAGGGCATTGATTGACAATTGTCAAACAGGAAATATACTGGCTTCATCTTGTCATTTACTGCACATTTTACTTTAGCCTCTTTGATGGTCATCAGGACATTTTTAGGTGGAGCTCCAGTTGAGTGTGTGAAAAGCAAGACAATGTTTTCAGCAATATCTCTTCCAAATAAAGACTGAACAGCATCAAATATGTAGATTTGTCTGTCAGAGAGTCGAGTTTGAGATGCGTCAATAACTAAACACACTGCATCTATTTCATGGAGGCCATCTTCATATAAGCGAAGCAAATTCATGGCAATTTCTTTGTCAAAGGTGATACCATGGGTATTTCCATATCCTGGTGTGTCAATGATTGTTAAGTCATCTGGAATCTTTTGGTCATAAACACCATAGACAGTGATGATGGCTGTCGAGCTGTGATCTTTCCAGTTACCCTGATCATCTGTGATCTCAAACCAAACCTTATCTTCTCTCTTTACACCCAACATGTAGTTGACTATAGCATTGATCAGGGTTGTTTTTCCTGTTCCTGTTTCTCCAACCATCAGAAGGGTTTTATGGTTTTTTTTTGAGTCTCTCTCCCCAAAGGTCATTTTCCTATATGGTTTAGATTGATCCAAATCATGTGTAATCAGTGTCAGATGGTATCGAGCAGGTTTTCTGTCTTCAATTAAGGTGCTCTTCTTGATGAGTTCGTAATTTTTGTCCTGTAATGTGAAGCATAAAACACAAAAATAATAAAGATAGTTATGTATAAATGCTGTATTATGTATGACTTATTATGCTACTATTGCTTGCACATCAAAATGTTGCATCAAAATGTTTACAAAATAAATATTTCATGTTTTGAAATCATAATCAAATTGTTCTCCAACATCGCTGTTGACAATAAAGGTCCTTTTATATAACAACGCCCAGAAAGCTATATACATTTATTTTTATTTGTTGTTTTACCCATCTAATATTAAACATCAGATTAAACTTGGGTGTTTTTAAATTTCACTTCTTTGTATAATTTTGTAATAAAAGGGATCATTCACCAAATAATGAAAATTATTTTTTAATTATAAAATTATTTTTCACAATGTGAATTTGGGCTGTAAGGCTGGAAGAACCTCATATACTTTGATATACTGAGAGACCAACAATACAAACAGCGTATTAACAGACATTTGTTTCCACAACCCACTGAGTGAAGATGTGAAAAAAAACGTCTCAGGTTACCCATGTAACTATGGTTCCCTGATGTAGTGGGCAGAACATTACAGGGCCCAGTTTATGGCGGGGCCCCTCTCTGACCACTATAGTGGACAAAGGTTTGCTACATTTTGATTGGATCTTCGTGGACTAACATAAGCAAACTGTCCAACGCCGTCAGATAAAGATGCCAAGACAACAGACAGACACCTCTTAGAAGCCAAGAAGAAGACCTTTGGTACAAAGGCCGGGAAGGACAGGACTTCCTATTGATCAAAATGCAGTTTCTGCCCTTTACCCAACAACAGACTGATTCCTCAGGTTTTGGCCTGTGACCGCCATTCCTGGAGCAGCCCAGCACTGTCTCACTCATCTAACACACCTGATTTAACTCGTCAGCTCGTGTTTATTTTAGCACTTCAGTCAGTGAATACACAGCCTGCAAAACACTAAAATAAATATCAAATAAATAATACAGTTAAACAAGAAAGTAGCCTAAATAAGAAAGTTAAATGCATTACACCGTCTACCGGGCGCGAGCAGTGCGGCACGACACGACAAAATACTATAGATCTCATTAAAATCAGTGATGCTAGAGACAAATTACAGAGACCTATTAGGTGACTTCAAGAGCTAGAATCAGCACAATCAATTTCCTCCTGCGCTTACCAAGTAAACACACAGACACACACATACACTGTTTGACTGACAAAAATACTCCTTCAATATGCAAGCAATTTTCAAACTATATACACTTCATTTCATTCACATTCAGCATTATTATAACCGTGAAAGTAGGCCACAGTGAAGCTCTTCACAAAGTGTCAAGTGTTTTCTTTTTCACTCTTCAACAGGTTAAGCAGTGCTAAATGGAGGTGGTTAGAGGAGATATGAATACATAAAACAACTGTAGGGAACAGCACATTCCAGGGCCCAGTTTATTGCGGGGCCCCTCTCTGACCACTATAGTGGACAAAGGTTTGCTACATTTTGATTGGATCTTCGTGGACTAACATAAGCAAACTGTCCAACGCCGTCAGATAAAGATGCCAAGACAACAGACAGACACCTCTTAGAAGCCAAGAAGAAGACCTTTGGTACAAAGGCCGGGAAGGACAGGACTTCCTATTGATCAAAATGCAGTTTCTGCCCTTTACCCAACAACAGACTGATTCCTCAGGTTTTGGCCTGTGACCGCCATAAAAATTCCTTAGGACCTTTGAATGCAGCAGGAGTGGGTGAAACAAAGAGGGATCACAGAGTTCCATCCAAATCCATTCATAACTATGTTCTCAAACCTTACACTGATGCACATTTATCGCTGTCTCGTTTGTATTTGGCCAGTTTGGAGAAAGCCTCACCAAACCTGACCAGCCAGGCGTTTGCGATCACGGGAACTTGAAGACCCTTATATAAACACGGATGGGTGACATGAATGGAGATGGCTCCAAATCGGCGATGTAGTATTTGGTTTCCCAACAAGGTCCATCGCTCAACACAAAATTAATTTGCTGAATGCATAAACTGAATGCGCTCAAACTTGCCAATCTAAAAGAAACGATGTGTATAAGTTATACAGGAGGAAAGAAGGGTGGACCACCCCATGTCCCCCCCACTCTGATGGAATCCTCATCGGAAAGGGATAAAGGTACCTTCCCAAAAGACACTCCTTGATCTGAGTCTTCGGCCTGCAATGGTGAGACACTAACAGATAAACCTCGGTACTGAGTCTCCGGCCTGTTACAGGGAAGGCAGCAACAGAAACAACTGTTCTGAGTCCCCTGTCTGCAAGGGTGAGACAATAGCAGATCAACCGCCGTTCTGAGTCTGAGTCCTGTCAAGGAAAGGCCTGCAACAGATCACCAACGTTCTGAGCCTCGGGCCCGTGAGGGAAGAGGCAATAACAGATACCAAGTCCTGAGTCTCCAGCTTTGAGGCAGCAACAGATACGACCACGTTCTGAGCCTCCAGCCTGCGAGGAAAGAGATAATCCAGGTTCAGACTTCATTCCTAGAGAGACGAAGTGGATCGACCAAATTCTGAGTCTCTAGCCCAGAGAGGCAGAAGACACACAGACATTTGCAAAAAGGTTAAGCTCCGGCGAGCAAACCTTCACTTCAAGGTACTTTTGCTTGCGTGTTCCAGGCAAGGACCTTCAGCACTCCAGGGCCACATCTGCGTGTTCCAGATTTTGGGACCCTTTGGTGCTCCAGGAGATCAGCATCCTACAGCGCTTCGTGTTCAAGACTGTTGAAACGGATTCCTGCTCCTTTCCCCACTGCATTGCTACCAGCACAACCAGTGGAGGAAGTCACCGCTTCCTCACCTTATTTCTTTCAGAGTAGCAACAGTTTATCTTTCCGGATAACGTAGCTCTTTGCAACACCCAACATAATCACTTGCATTTTATGCATCTTATGCACTTTATTCCTATTTCATTTACGGTATTTATTTAGTAGTTGTTGATTACTCTTGTCTATCTTTTGTTAATAAAATCTATTTAGTTACACTTGTGTCTTCCTTGTGTTGATGATACAGAGAGAGGTTCTACAAGTTAGAGATCCCACCAATCTTTCTTATGTGATGTACTCATAACCACACTTTAAGTGACACGTGATTCAAATATCATAACATCATTGGTGACGCGAGTGTCCATCACTACACTGTTTCGCCTCCCTAGGTTGGTGAAAGCAAAATTCACTACACTGAGAAGGGGAACGAGACACTGCATCCCCTAGAGGACACTTTGGGGAACGCCCTCAGCGTGACCGGTGTCTGAAGTGCATGTGGAAACACGACAATGAACTTGACATTGGCCTATGACGTGCTACTGGTGCGACCATGAGTATAAAAGGGCACCTGTAGAACACATCGTCAGTTTCTTGTCTGAAGGAGACGTGCACAGG